AATTAAAGGCATAGCTGATTATCTGTTAAATGAACGATTCCTCAAAGCTATGGCAATAGTTTAAATCAATATTTTAAATTTATACATAAATTATACTTCATAGATTATAGATACCAATACTGTGAAGAAAAAAAAATGAGTACTTAAATCTAAATTTAATGTCCTTCAAAGGTTTTCAGCACAAAAAATTTTTGTTGTTTTGCTATTTAATTTATATAAAATTAAAGTTAATTAGAATAGTCAAATAGTAATGACATTTATCTTCCAGGCACTATATCACATATTTTATCTCATGCAATTCTCCAAACAGCCCTGTGGAGACACTAAGTATAAAAATACAGTAAGTAATTTGCTTAGTGCCAAGCACCTTAATCAACAATAAGATTTGGACTGCAGTTCATGTTTTTAAGTTTATTTTCCATGTCTTTTATATATGTAGCAAACACTTAATATCAATATTTTAACATGTACTTATAATTAAACATATATTAAAAATCTGTTAATGAATATTATTCTTGAAAACGTAGCATTGCAACTACCTATTACAGTCTAGTTTAAACTTCGTTCCCCATTTTAAATAAGAAGAAATCAGACTCTTAAGTGTTTAAGTGATTTTCCTATATATAGCACAAAATAGAATTGAGACTGTAAATTAAAAAAAAAAAAAAAAATTGGTTCAGGATAATAGAGCCTGTAAGAGAATCCTGATCAAAAGGGGTGGAAATATGGAACAAAATTAAAAATCCTCATGGAATCCAGACTTTCTGGAGCCACTGAGTCGGGATGATCCCCTGCCCAACTGTCACCCTGAGGAAATCTTTAAACCTTAAACCAAAACTATTCTCTAAAGTCATCTTTCAGACAAACGAGAGTTTAGCATGATTGATAAAAAATGTTTGCCTTTTAAAAAAGAATCATTTATATGTGATCAGATTGACACCAGCAACTTGAAGGTTAGATGAGACGCTCAGAGAGCAGTGAGCTCATGTGAATGAGATATTTGGGAAAGGATACGAAGAAAGGTGGCACAACTTGAAGAATGTGGCCATTGTCACTGAATTATTGTATATATATTCACCAGAAACAAAAACAAAATCTGGTTTAGAAGCCTGTATCACTAGGGAATTTCTCAAAATGTCCTGCCCAGTTTTTAGGAAATACAGACTACAAACTGACTACTTTCAAGTACAATACGGAATTTGATGTGGATATTTGCTATGATAGATTTTCTTTTTATAACAGTCTCATCAGATCTCCAATTTTAAAGACAATTCAGCCTCTCTCAGTATTCCAAATGGGGCCAAATCCCAATTTATCTGGCGTAGCCTATGGAGGGATGCATTTCCGGTACAGGCATACCTCATTTTATTGTGTTTCACTTTATTGCACTTTACAGATATTGCATTTTTGTTTGTTTGTTTTTACAAATTGAAGGTTTGTGGCAAGCCTGAGTTAAACAAGTCTATCAGTGCCATTCTTAGCAGCCCAATACTTAACCCACTGTACCACCAGGGTTCTGTCTCATAATGACCCTATATAGGGTTTCTGAGCTATAAATATTTACAGGAGCAGAACACCTCATCTATCGCCAGTGGAGCATCTAGGGGATTCGAAATACTAACCTTGTGATTAGCAGTGCAATGTGTATACCACTAAGCCACTCAGGTTTCTTCGATTAGACTACAGCATAATGTAAATATAACTTTTATACGTACTGGGAAACTAAAATATTCTTGTGAGATGCTTTATTGTGATGATCTGGAACCAAACGTGCAATATCTCCGAGGCATGTTGGTACTTAAAACATTTTATTTTCCTCACAGGATGAATCATTCTGGCAACTCCTCCCCTTTGTCCCAACCCCTAAATGGAGAATCTTGGACAAGCCTGGGCCCACCCACACACTAGATAACAGGGGAGTACTCAGGACAGGCAGAGAGGTGGCCCAGGCAGGCCTGAGTCCTTACCCAAGTTGGGGTCATATTCGCTGATAAACCTCTTGGTCAGAAACTTCACTGTCAGGGCTGTAAGAAGCAGAGAGGTTGGCTCAGTCTCCCCTGCCATGTCTGGCTATAATCCTCCTTCACCCCCAGGCTTCCCTCTTCCTTGTTTTAGGGAAGCCTTTATCTAACCTCTGTAACCCCTGGGAGCTAGTTTGAGAGGCTTAAAAAGACACCAGAAGATGCAGAGTCCCTCCAGTTGCACCCTGGGGCTTTTTTGTGTGTGTGAAAAGAAAAACAATGAGAGGCAAGCCTAAGGAGTGTTTGTGATGTCCCAAACTCAGGGGTCAGGACCCACACAGTCATTGACCTGACTCATATCAGTGAGAACCCCAACTTTAGAAGACATCGCCCACCCTCGGACCCTGGACAAGTAACAAAGACTGATAACAAAGGATTTCTTCCAGCCTTGTGTACAAGCTAAAGAGTAAGGGCAAAGTTGATGGGTGGGTGACCCCTGAAAGAGGCATGAACCCCAAGTGCCTAGAATTTTCAGGCAAGGTCCAGGCGAGATCTGTGTTCCAAATAAATACACTGTAGCCCTCAACTGCATCCATGTCTCAAGTCCTGGGCCTCCACGTTCTTTATGCATCTCAGCAGAATGTAAAGCTCTAAGAGAGAAGTTTTCTTCAGGTGACATGCATTAACAGCACCCTGATTTTATTCTGAATTTCGTCGAATAAAGCCAACTATTAAACTGGCCTCTAAAGAGTAATGTGATCTTTTAAACATTCTTTCCCAGGATTCCTAAAGATGTCAGTTTGCAAACTAATAATACCGGGGGAAATACATGTTTAAAATTGTAAATTCTTCTATTCATATAGTCACTGGCTAAACTGTACCAGCACATCAGCTATGGTTAACAACTTGATCTTTCAAAGGAAGAAGCCAAATCTTTTCCATAGGGAAATTAGATTCATAGTGCCTTCTCTGAGCAAAGAAGCTGGCTTCAAAAGTAGGAGAAGACATAGTTCTCCCACCAAGTCTTAGAATACACTCTGGGGAAAGAAACCCACAGTTTCCATGTTGGACTTGCACCAATGGGTGTAAATGCACACAAACACATCAGTGGAAGAGTCCCTTCTTCCTCCTCCCACTGGGAATTGGGAAGAGGGTTCTTTCTGGGGTGTCTGGCTCCAGTCGTGTAAGCGTTGTCAGGAGTGGCAAAGGCAGAGTTAGTTCAGTGTTGATAAAAATTATGTTCACGGAAGCTCAAGATCTTGGTTTCTAAAGGACAAGTCCCAGGTATCAGGAATCTGTGTTTCAAGAATGTCTAGCTTGGTAGAAATACATTAGGTCAGAATGCCCAGGGAATTGGGGTGGGGAGTGTGGCAGTGGTTCTCCCTGCCTTGGAAATCCCAATATTCAGTGTCCTTAGTGGCCAGGGTGGTCTTCCTTCATCTCCACCTAACGCGGGAAGTAGCAAGACTTGGACTACTCACACTTGGGGCCCTGGGATACGGATCAGCAGCCTAATGGGAACCCTTAGGTGCCAGTCATCAGGGCTACTGGCCCCAGGGTAGAGAGGAGGTGGAGGGAGTCGGCCTGGAAAGACTGACGAAGACTGGAGACACAGAGAGACGGAGGACAGAGACGCGGGGATGGAACAGGCAAGGAATAGAAAGCCGATTAAAGAGATAGAGGCGCGGAGAACAAAGCAGAGTGAATAGAAAGCGCAGCAACACAGGCAAGAAAGGAAATCTCTCCCGATTCACCTGGATGCAGAGGAACCTGTTACAAGTCGACAGCAACCTGTACCCTACAGTCGCTCCGCGCTTCTCGGGTCCCTGACTAATCCCCTCTCTTCTCCTGTTCCCAGCCCCACTCACCGGACTTCCCAGCCCCGCGGCGCCCCAGGATGGCCAGGTTGACCTCGGGGAGCATACTCGGTGGCCCGCTGCCCGTGCGGGGTTTCCCGAACACCGAGGACATGGTGACGCTGCAGAGAGAGACACGGGATCCTCGACCGAATGGTCCCCGAGCCGCGCGCCCGCCCGTCGGGGCCCCCGGGAGCGGACTCCCCTGGCCCTGGCGACCCGGTGCCGTCCGTCTCCGTGCGGAGCCCAGCGCCGAGCGGGCGGGCTGA